GGGCTTTGGGGGTTGAGGGTTTAGGGCTTTAAGGGTTTAGGGTTTAGGGCTTTGGGGGTTGAGGGTTTAGGGCTTTAAGGGTTTAGGGGTTTAGAGTTTAAGGTTTAGGGCTTCAGAGGTTTAGGGTTTAGTAGTGGTTCACCTGCGCTTCTGCACCCGGGCGAAAAGGCGCAAAGGGAAGAGAAGCACATAGTAACAATCGTACACTGACAATCATCACAACAATCATAAGAATAATTGCCTATAATAGTAAGAAGACTAAGAGTAAAAGCATAAGTCACAATAAAACTTAGAATCATAACAATGACAAGAAGAATAACCATATGAATCAAAAATAATAACAACAGCAACAACTGCCATATTCCCAAAAATATCCTGGTTCTAGTCATGATATTGATTAGTTATTAGGGATATTCTCAATAGTTGTTATGAGTTATGCCTACAAACAAACTGTTAGCACACTCTTCACCACTCCGAAGACCTTTCATTGCGTAGGGTTTAGGGTTTAGACGGAATGGGTCGGAGCGCAAGCCTTTTCAAAGCATGGTCCATGAAATCGCGCAATGAGCAAAAGTCGCAGCGAATACTCAGCACCGCTTGAGGGTGCAGGCTTTTCGAACAACCTGGTACGGTGGGGTAAAGCTTAAGGCTTAAGAGTTGGCCTAGGGTTTTGGGGTCTAAACCACTTAAACTATAATCCCCAAACCCTCAAGTTGAGGATGTGGGGCATAGGTTCGAGCCTTCGGCGCGGTATCTGCACCCTGAACACACTGCTCGGGGGGATCATGGGAACCATGGGTACTTGGGACGGAAGTTGGTGTTGTAACCAAATCATCTTAGGTAGCACCATCTAAGCTAAAAAGGAAGTAATAACTAAGCCGCTGGCTGCTAGCACCAGAACCTAAAACCCCCAACCCCAAATCCTAAACCCTACACCCTAAACCCTACACCCTAAACCCTAAACCCTAAACCCTTTTACACCCTAACCCTAAACCAAAAATCTGCTGCGGGGTACCTGTGATCCTGCAAACCCTAAACCCTCGTCCAGGTCCAGTCACCGGCTCTGCGCCGGGCCATGTGCAATGCTGCTCCTGCAAAGAGCGAAGCTCTTTGGGGTAAAGTAGGTGTCTTAAGAGTTAGAGCACGAGTTCGGGGTTTGTCAGCGGAGATCTTTGGTTGGGAAGTTGAGGTGCACATAGCCCTACGGTAGTAAACCTAAGCCCTCAACCCTCGACCCCAAACTCTGAATCCTAAACCCTAAACCTGTCGCTGTCTTCCGATTTGCGGTTTGAGGTCCGGCGCCTTCTTTGGCAGGCAGATCCTGCAACCTTCCAGCCTGGAGCCCGAAACCGAAGACCCGAATACCTTAAACTGCTTGTAGATTGGGGCTGGGGGTTCTAGGGATTGGGCTAGAATACCTTTGGACAAACATTCCGACCCCGCACGAAATCAGCGGCTATAGGGTCTATGGAAGTTCGGTTTGCCTTCGGACTTATCGCATTGGGGTTCGGAGATTCGGCGTGAGGGTTGTTTGGGTGTTGGGTTTGGGCTTGGTGCCAACATGTTCGCGCAATTTTATGATTTTGCAGGATGCTTAATCTTATTAATATTACAACCATGCTAAATCACCCTTCTGCCGCCTCAGTCGGACAGCGGATGTCGGCGTAAGCCCCCTCGCCGCAGAATCGACATTCGAGATTCCTCGATGCGGGCTCCAAACGTCAGAAGAAAAAACCCAAGTTCAAGTTGTCGCATTCAGGGGTTACCTGGACCCTGAAGAACCTCCCTTTTCGGGTTCCTTATTATGGTTTCCTGACATAAGGCCTTGAAAACGGTAGGTTCTTTGGGGTCTAGGTGGGGCCGAGGGTTTGGAGGGATCGTGGCTTCGGGGTTACGATGCAAGGGGTTGGGGGTTTCTGGCTACAGGGCCTTCATAAATAGAAAAGAGCTTTGGGGGGTAACCCTAACCCCTATAGACCCTAAACCCTAATCATGACAGGGACTAGAAGGCAGAATGGAATTGCGGATGATTTCGACTCCGGTCTTAACCAGTGTTTTGGAGGGTTCGGAACAAGTAGCATGAAACCCCTGGCTCCGAGTTGAGCCCGAAACTCCAGAAGCCCTCAAGCCTAGACTCTATAACCCTAAACCCCAAAACCCTAAACCTTGAAACCCTAAATCCTGAACCCTAATCCCCAGAGGCCCTATGCAGTAGGAGATGTTCGCAGCCCAGCTTGCTGAGAAGATGTCTG